AAGCCCAAGCCCGTTCCCGTTGTCGCATCCGCGCCGTCTCGCAAGGCCCAGCCTGAGTCCTCTGAGAGCTCGTCGGAAGATGAAGAGGAGGTTCAGGAAGTCCCCCCGCCGCCAAAGGTCGAGGTACGTTCGCTTCCTGCTGGGGAACATCACAAACTGACAATTAACACTCACAGAAGTCGTCTCGCACTCCCGCTCCCACTCCCAAGCGCCGGGTTCCTGCAGAACCTGCGCCGGACTCGGAGCACTCGGGCGATGAGGCCGCAAAGCCAGCGCCGGCACGCAAAGTACGTAGCCCGCGCTCACCGTGAACCCCGCTCCCCCATCTCTAAGATTGTATCACAGGGTCGTAAGCAGGCCGCGCCTGCACCGACAGGCCCGGTCGACCCCAAGTTGGCAAACCAGGTGAAGCGGAGGCGTAAGGGAGCTGCCGCTGACGAAGTGGGTCTTGTTCGCGCCACCCCAGTCAGACATCTCGCTAATGCGCCTGTCTCTAGGAACCTGCTCCCCCGAAAGGCCCCGTCTGGTTCTATCTCACCAGCCAGGAGGTCAGGGAACGGAAGGAGGTCATGACCCCCGTACAATACGAACTCCTCAAGTACGAGTCGAAACAGGACCCTACGACGTGGCTGCCTTACAACTTGGACGGCCACTGCAAGTCGAAGACGGGTATGAGCGTAGCGCTGGCGGACAAGATCACGTACGCGATGAACACGCAATACCCTATCGAACTCTACACCGGCCCGCTCGGCATGTATCCCGTAAGCGTCCCAGACCAGAAGAAGATCTGCAGCGACGCCTTCACCAACGCCCTCAAGGAGGACAACGACAAGATCCCGAAGATCATGACGCGCTATAGCTCAGAGGCGAAGTTCCGTAAGGTGGTAACTGAACTGGTACGTTTTTTCTCGCTTACTGTACTTGCACGCCATGACACGAGTGTATAGATCCACGACAGACGCCACCAGGCTCGCGGGAAAGTCATGATAATGGGTCGTCATGCTCTTTTCGCCCTCTTTGGGCTAGCGCCGTTCGACAACCAACCGCTTATACTCCAGAATGCGGTGAACGAACTTCTTCGTGGTTCGAACTTCCTTTATCCGGGCAAATTGGAGGTACGCCTTGGCCTCGTCTCACATTTATACTCAGCTGACTGGTACGGGGCAGATTCAGAACAATCGAAAGTCGTTCAAATATGTTATCAGTACTGAAGATCGTAGCCGCGATTACTGCGGCGGTTCCATCGTGCAGATGACAGCCATGTCATTCTTTGGGCATGCCAGTATAGTAAGGGATCGCAAGAACAGAGGCGTGCCTGGGTTCGACTTCGACGCTTCGGTATTCCCCGAGGCTTCCTTCGTGCGCCGCGATGCGGACCCCGACCAGCCCAAGCCCCGTGAAATGCCGATCGCGATGTTGGCGTTCGTGGCGGCTTCGGTGAGTCATCGTTTCGTTCTTTCCGCATATCGAGACTGACGCTGCTCTTTGAGATCGAGCACGCCTTGAACGAGTGGGATCATGGCACATACCGGGATATCCCGCTGGTAGACGCTAACATAAAGCGACCGTACGACCGCCATCTGCGCGACCTGAATAAGAAGAAGCCGCGCGCGCGCTCCCTGCTGCTACAGTATGTGTATAAGTTGGCCAGGTATGTCGCCGCCTCTTTATACGCTATATCTCTCTGACCAGGACACAAGGGAGTGGACTCCCCCCACGATCGAGATCACCGACGATGAACGCCCGGAAATTGGCACATCTGAGGCCGAGGACCTCTACCCCGCGTAGTTTGACACCGTCGGTCCCCTTTCATCGCTTCATCATGAATTTTACTGACGCTAGTCCATAGATATTGATTTTCCCCCCGTCCGGGCTTCAACAGCGGCCCTCTATACCCCAACGACTCTTTGCTAGCCCCGCTTGTCTTCCCTCCTGCTTACGAACACCCCCGCTCCATTATATGTGCCTCGATTGTATTTACACTAGACCCCCATCTGTGCGCTTGAGGTCCCTGAACCCGCCTGATGGACGATAATAAAAATGCTATTTTGAGCGCTATTTCTAAATGTGGGAAAAATGCAAGAAATATGATTTTAATATGCGCGAACTGGACGCTCACGACAGTCTCACGATATACTTA